GCCCAGAGTTAACACCGTGCACCACTTGTCTCTGCTGTTTGGGTTTTGCTGGTGCCTTCCTTCTCCTTGTTAAAAAGTACTTGCATAAAAGACTCCCACACTTGTCTCTGTTTTCAGGTTGCCTGGTTTCAGTTTTGAACTACTGGTTCCTTGAATGTTTCTCTCCACTCCAATACCCCCTGCATACAGTTATTTCCCTCCTTGTAAGGTACCGCACACAAATTGAGGTCTTTCGAAATAGTCTTTCTGATAAAACCCTTCTTCTTTACCTCTGTTTGTGAAAATGTATTTACTCTGGGGTTGTATCTGTTTTTCTATAATGTCTCCCAGGTTACAATGTGAACTTGTAAAAGGTAGTAACCCCAATGGTGTTATTTTCTCAGGATCCTTATCACAGACCTAGGAAGATTAAATTAACTTTTTATTTCTGCTTATACATCCAAGAACAAGTTCTTATGCCAGTGTTTCCCACTGGGAGCTCATGCTGAATTGCTTGTTCACTAGGGCAGCGCAAAATTTAGGGGTAGTTGCTACTTTCTGAAATATAAACCACCTTCTATAGCTATGGCCTGAATACTTCATACACTGAATAAAAACTTAAATTTAAGACCAAGTGCCACCAACTTTTTCAACAATGCCCCTATTCCTAATGAAAACTACTTTGAAATTGTTGGTAAGCTCCTAACCTTGGTATTGGGTGATACTGCATAACTCTCATTTGCTGAGGGTAATGTGATAGTTACTGTGATAATTAAGAGTCAAGCACTTGAGTAATTCTAGATGAACCTATAATCTTTTATCAATTATCTTTTTCAAGAAACTCATAATAACAAAATAATGATTAAAAACCTCAAAATAACAAATAATGAAACTTAACTTTTCATGGAACCGTACTGACCGAATTCTTTATAATTTGAGTCCTGTATCTGCTTTTGTATTATTTGGACCAGGATGAGTTAATGCCCCTTGGCATATCCCAGTTCATTCCCTAGTTAATGGGATAATTGGTCATAAATTTGTAACATTTATACTTTTCTGGGGTTCCCATGCTATTTAATTTAATCTCTTTTCAGTAAGACAGGTCTCTGCCTGCCTCACGAGCATGTGGTGCCAGTAAAGCATGCAATGTTGGCACTAAGGAAGAGGAACTGTTTTCACAATTTGTTTACGCAAAAAAGGACAAAAAAATCTGAAGAATGCAATTCTGCCTGCAGATTCAGAATACATTTATCCTATCAAATATAGCTTTCATGTTAACTGTGTTTCACTACATCTATAGTGATTTTTTTTGTCAAAGTAACTAGTACTTGGAAACAATGAGAAAATGTACTCTGAAATTACAGAGTCTGACATCAAAGGCAACAGCATAATTTTTGGAAAAAAATGGTGGGTTTGCCAATTAATTTCTTTGCCTGTCATACTGACTTGCCTTTGAAGATTTCAAAACGAGAGGACAAGAGGTAATGGCCTCAAGTTGTGCCAAGGGAGGTCCAGGTTGGATAGTAGGAAAAATTTCTTCACTCAAAAGGCTATCAGGCACTGGAACAGGCTGCCCAGGGAGGTGGTGGAGTCACTGTCCCTGGAGGTGTTCAACAGACAGGCAGATGAGGTGCTTACGGACATGGCTTAGTAGTGGGCAGGTTATGGTTGGACTCCATGATCTTAAAGGTCTTTTCCACCAAATGAGTCTATGGTCTAGATCACTGTCTGAAGAGGTCCTGGTCAGTACCTCTTCACCTCACCTTCCCTCCCAGCCAGGCTTTAATTGTGGTGTTGGTATCACAAAATCTGTGGGCTAACGAGGGATGATTGCAAGCTGTCTTCTGCCTCCTACTGTTTTGTTCCTGTGACTCTTACATTAACCAGGTCAACTGTATCTTATCATTTTGGGGTTTATGCTGATACTTACAGCCATCAAAAAGCCTGCTATCATGCAACTGGAAAAAAAGGGCATACTGTAGATTTTTATGATACATAAAAAGGGATGCTAGAACCCTTTTTCTTCTCTATATAAATGATTAGTTGAGCGACAGTAACTTTTGATAGACCTCATAAAGAATAACATGCTTTCTGCAGTTTTGGTTTTAAGCATGTCCACACTGGATGAATTGTCATATCTTCAGTGTGAATACATTCTAGTCTTACAACACTCACAACTTGGCTGAATTCCCAGAAACCTCTGAGACAGTCATATGGAAAAGTTACCAATTTTTATATCTGATTAGGGAACTCACAAACTCAGTGCATGTAATCTTGAAAGCCAAATTAACAACAACAAAATATTAGAAACTATCTATGTAATTTTTTCCTGTCAGTTTCCAAGATTTTCCAGATTTTAGCCTGGATATGTTACAAAAGGTCCCAGAACAAAGAGACCTCATTAAATTTTTGCATTATCTCCCAAATTATGAAAGTGGCATTCTGGAAAACTCCTACTGGGAACAGGCTCCAAAACTAAGTTTTCAATCAGGTTCCATGAAGAAAGTAATTAAAAAAAACCACCAACAAACGAACTTGGTCAGGAATTTTTCTGATTTTGCTTTCCAGATTGCTTGTTTTCTGTTAATATACTGAATTATCACTACACAAATGTAGATTGCCTGAACAGTCTCATCAGCCTCCATTTTAGACAAGGAGCAGATTTTGCTAGGTTAACTAAATGTGACTTTGATCAATAAATACCCTTTTAAACTCTATCTGGATGATCTATTAGTAGTAAGTACTTTCCTTCAAATAGAAGATCCCATATATGAGTATCTATCTGCATTTTTAAAGGGCGTATGAAGTCCATTAGGAGACCGAGTTATCAGACATTAAAGCTCTAATCTACAAACTCCCAAGTGAGACTTTAAGTCAAACCAGATCCTTTGCACCTTTGTGGTTTTTCCCACCAAGTTCTAGGCTAACATGATATGACAAAACCACCAGGAATATTCTGAGAGATGATCGCTTCTCTAGGGTTACTTCTGTTCCATGGATAGATCTCATATCTCAAGTCCTCTGATTAAAATAAGCAAGTTAAAGTCAGAAGGTATTTAGTACACAGCTTTGTTTTGGATTACTGTATTTCACACTTAAATACAACATTTTAAGCCAAAAGCTTGTATAATTTTCCTCCCAACGTATCAGTTTTTCTAATATATTGCCTCATTTCACCAACCATCTGAGTTAGTATCTTTCAATTTGATTAATTATTGTTACTATATTACTTTTAAAAAACAGTATTTTTTTATGACAAACTTTTTTTGTGGCCTTGTAAGTATTTTTAGAGCCACAAAATGACAGGAGAGTACCTTGTTTAGATATACCATCTTCTGGAAATACTATTAATCTTATTCTGTGCTAGTCAATAAACAGCTATTCCGTAACCGATAATGTAAGTCCTGTAGAAAGGCTGCCCATTACACAAACATTGTGGGAAAATAATTTGTAAGAAAATGAAAGACTAAATAAGGCCTTGAATAGCTTTATTGAAATCTGTATAAATAAACATGCGCATTTCAAATGTAAACCCAAGTGAACTCAAGTGCAGACAAAATTTTAACCTCTGTCATGCAGGAGGTTAGTTTACATTAAAAAAAAAATCAACAAAAAAACCAACCAAAAACCTCAAAGCAGCTTTAAAATACCAGGATGAAACACCAGTTTTAATACCAAGGTATAAAGCAAAGCCATGTCCAACATACCTCATTTATATCCTGGTCAAATGCAATTTTTTAAACTTTTTAATGCTAACATAAATAAATAATTTACCAAAATGTGCACTCACAGAGTGAACTTTTATTTACAATACACAATTTATAACCTATTGTATTTGATTAGTTCAAGTGAAGAACATCATACTTTTTGCTTTTTTCTTTTTTAAAATTGATTTAAACAGTGGGACACAAAGCAACTCTCCAGGTAGCAGATATGTGAATTGTGCCCCTGCACGTAAGAGCCCCTCTCAAAGGCAGTATTGTATACGAATCAACAATACATTCTTCCAACTAGATCAAAGGGAAAGCAGCAAATTAAAAATGTTTCAAACTGTCACACTTATTTTGGCATCCTGGACCCCTGAACATAGTTAATTAAAATCCAATTCAAAGTTTGTATGCCTTATATACTGTACAGGTTCTGACTCGAACATGCAAATGCCAATTCTCTTATAATGAGTTACCTTTCAGATATGCTGTAAGGCTATGGTGAATTCCATCAGGAACACACAAAGAAAATTAACAGGCCTACCTTTAAAGCAATTTTGTTAATTAACAATTTAAAGGCAGGTTATACTGAAAAAATTCTCATCTAAGCCCGATACACAAGTCATTACTATGGATACAGAATACTATTAACTCTGGCCCTATTACAGAGTAGTTTGCAAGCTGTCAAACTACAAAAACTGGGGAGAGAGAACTTAGAGCACAGTTTTAAATTTTGGACTGACACCAGATTAAAATTATGCATGTTTTATAAGCAAGATAACAGGAATTATGTCTGCAGAGTAAATTCCAACAAGCAACAAAGTATACTTACATTTAATTGAAAAACTTTTTGTTAATGCAGCATGAAATCCAGAACCTGTTCCACAGCAGCAGTAAGATGAACATAATATTCTGGATGCTCAACTATATCACAAAAGGTTAAAACACCTTTTCAAGCTATTTCTTCTATTGTGGCCAAATTTAAAAAAGAAAAAAAAATAGGGAGAAACAAGAAGTTTGCTGTTTCAAGAAAACTACTGCTTAAATATTCATGAATTTTTACTTGCAGTCGGTGTGACAGCCTAAGGAACATGTATATATTCATCCAGAAACTAGACTTTGCAGTAGTATTCTTGCAGTACTAAGAAAATAAATGTCAGAAGTCCACAGATTTAACATTTTAGTTATTAACTCACATCCAAAACAAAAGAAAACATAATCCATCAGAACAGCAGCAGAAAACTTAAAAGGGGTTTATTTGTGATTTCCTATATATAGCTTGTGAATACAAGACTGTAAATGCATTAGAGACAATTTCTGTTAAAGTTTTTATTGTTTCACTTCAAGTACTGCACATGTTAAAATGTAATAAAGATTTACATTCTGTTATCTGAAATTCCCCATCTCAGATTTTTATTCTTAATTTGGTGGGCAATTTCACTCTTTCAATAGGTATACCCACTAAGGAAGTCTCTTTTATGGCTTCTAGTTCTTCCATTAGTTAGTGTGCATACAATTTTCATTTTCTATATCATTATCATTTTCATTGCTGTCTTCATCACTTTCCAGTGGGATGCCTGTGGCAGCTGAAGCACCTTGTTTAGTTTCCCGGTCAAGAGGGAAAAAGCCAGTTCCACTGATCGTGTCCTGTCTCTGGTAGAAGAGCACATATGCTGCTTTGGACTGTAAAAGAGAAAGAGTAATATGCCCATGAGGCTCCAGAGATAACACATTTACACAATCCAAGCCATCCATTTTTTTTCTACTTCAAAGTTTATAAAGTAAAATTTCAAAGAAATACAAACCTTTCACTTAAGTTATTTTTGCGTAGCAGAGCAAACCATTTTTGTTTTGTACTGTCTTTTGAAGGAACACAAGCTACTACATACAAATATATTGCAAGGTTCATGATTTTCTCTTCATTTGTCTTCCCTCAAGAATAAAACACCATCAACAGTCCCAGTTTTAGAAACACAAAAGGTACTTGCCACTATTTGGTCCTCACATGCAGTGGACACACTACTGTCATCAAAGTAGTACCATTTCCCATCATCCTTGTTTTTTGCGAAAGCAGTATCTAGGACAAGAAAAGTACGACAACTGAGGACTTTGTATCTTTATAGATGTAATACAATCAGTTGCTAGAGTGTGTTACTGTCAAACACTTGACATTTAACTAACTAAAACCTATTACTGCTGAATCATACTTTCACACTTTGTTAAGTAAATAAAGTTAATCAGTAACATTCCCCTTCTAAATAGAATGTATAGTGAGAAAGGAGAGTAAAAATCAAATTTCATTTTTCTTTCTTCATTCAAGGAGACACAGTATATACAAAAATACAGACAAGTACGACTAAATTAGTTGTCAGAGTACAGTAGCGCTAATGAAGCTCTTTTCACAACATGCATAACTAGAAGTATAAAAGAACCTACAATTATCCTTGAAAGCTCATTTCATACAGATTTTTGTGTTATAATACTTCTGAAAGCATTTCAAGGTAATAAAAAAAAGTCCTTCAATCATTAAAAAATGCCACTGATTCAAAGAGATCAAGTACTTAAAATAAACATGAAGGAAAGCTAACATGTAGAATGATGGCATTTGAAATGAACTTACAATGCCCTCCTCCCATTCCTCCGTAATGGTTGGAGACCGCAATCAAGTTGTAGCGGCAAGGCCCTGCATTGGGATTAATAAGGAACTCTGACATGTCCAAGTCACTGTTTAAAAAAAAACCACACAGAAAAACCACAAAAAAAACAACCAAAAGAAGTTCATGTTAATAATATTGTTAACCATTTCACATTTTAGTGGTCTTTGAGCTCTTTACTTTATTCCCCACAAAAAACCACATAAACCAGATTACACTGACATTGCATCTCTTTCACTTTGTGAGGAGTGGAATAGGAACCAATAATCTTAGCCAAAACTATTGACAAATTTCTTCCATCCTTATGTACTATTATTGTTTTTCCAAGTTCATACTTTTCACCTGCGAGCATTTTGTCACCAGTGTTTACTGGATGCACACATGGAAGCTGAGAACAAAACCATTTTATGTAATTGCTGGATTAAACATATGTTCTAGTCATGCTGATTTTTATACTTCTAGCACCAAAATATTTAGGTTTCTTACTTTATTGGAAAGTCTACCAACGTATCCAACTTGTCCCTCATGTATCTGCTGTAGGAAAAGCGCTTTAGATGAACTACCAGTACAGGGGGCAGCGACCACAAATCTAACTTCTTGGTAGCTTGCTGATGTTCTTTACAGTTTGGACAATACCTAAAAAACCAAACAACAAACAACTGCAGTCCATACGTATGTTCAAATACATTACCATAGGAGGAACTGAATGAGCAAAAGCTAAAACACACAAACATATTCCATCTTCTGTTTACTAATGCCATTGATATCCCTTTCTAGTTGAAAATGTGAAGTGCTAGTGTGCAAGCATGCTCACAGTGAAGCTTGATAGCATTTTAAATACAAAAGTAGCACCCCCCAATATAGCATTCTCATCTCCTATAGTAGTCCCTGCATCTTCAGTTAAAACACAGCTTTCTCCTATTTTATTAAAAAAAATAAAAAATGAAGGGTTATGAAAATACTTCAGGAAAACTGACTATGTGGAAAGCCACAGATAACAGACAATCATGGTTCTTCCAAGTTTCAATTTCCAAATTAATCTATCTCCCACTCCATTCCCGTACCACTAAAACCAGGTAACAGTGACTACTAGAACCTCAAAAAACTCCTTACTAAAAAAAATTGCCTCTTTAGTAGGCAAGTACTAAACAGGCTGTGACTTACAAATTTCTGTTCCCTGCAATGCACACTTGAATCTTTCAAGAACTAAAGCTCAGGGAGGAAAGTAGGTAAGGCCAATCTATGGAAACAACTTTTCTGTGAAGTGGTTTACGCATATTCTACATCTTGGCATCTAACAAAGATCTAGGAAAGAGATGAGCCCTAAATTAAAAAGGCTGTACAAGTTTCTTCACATAGCAACAACAGATGAAGACAAGAAATGAGGAGAACTGTAAGGGCAGGCTATAACTGAAGAACTGTTCTCCCAGTTGGCTTAGAGTATCTGGAATACAAATAGTGCAGGACTAGGGATGAGAAGCTGTGCAGACCTGACAAATGAAGAAATAATGTGATTATTGACCTCTTGTGAGATGTAGCAACTGCTTGACTTCAGCAGTAGTTGTATTTTGTAGTTTAAATACTCTGCTTACATTGTGCTGCAGAAATGGAAGCACTTCATCATACCTGAGTTAGATGGTATCTCAAATAGTCAACCCAGGGGGGAAAAAAAAAAAAAGAAAATTTGTAAGTCAGCCTCCTCCCCTGCTCAAATAAAGGAGGATCTCTGGTGACAGTGTTTGGATGTCTTCAAAACTTTTAAGTCGTCACAAAAGAAAAGAAAAAAAAAGTGACAGACCCTCTATTCAAACTTAATTCTGAGCTTCAGGTGTTGAAGGATTCTTATCTGCTAGAAAATTCCTGAAGAAAAGGATCTTATGGGAACTTCCTATAATCTGTTGTTTAAGCACATGCCTATTTCATGAACCAATGCAAAGCAAGTTATGTATTTGCATAAAAAAAACTTTAGTATGTGCCCACCTTTCTCATCCCAGAGGGAAGTTTTTGTTTAAACCATTGCATTGGACTTGGCACAATATAATTAATTCACAATGGATCACAGCCCACAGACTAGAATATCTTATGGATATACCCTTCCTCCTAATTCTGAATGCATTAATTGTCTCCCACACAAACAATCTTTTGTATATGGTAACAATTTTAGTTAAGCAATGGATCAAAATAGAAAATATTTTGAGAATTTTTAACTATGCCTGAAATGACAAGATTCAAAATACCATTAAGAAATCAATTAGGTATCTCTGCTAATGTTCCACTGTGGTTTTGATTACATTTTGAGAAATACACCATAGAACATAATTTTAATTTTTTGTCCTTACCATGGGTCTTCAGCACCTAGTTTTTCCTTTGTTGTGAACAGCTCAATGCAATCTTTTAATTTCACAAAAGGCTTTTTGGGAGGCTTATATTCCACACTTTCATGTTTTTCAAAATCCTAAAGAGAAGTATTTCTTGAGTTAAGAAAACAAATGAAATAAAACTCATTTTAGTGTTGTCGTCTTACTACGAACAGTAACTACAAAGCTCCTATATACGGAAACACTGACCAGAAACCATTCAAAGAAAGTTTTCACAACTTCAGATTTACTTCCAGATTTACTTCCAAATTAGTAAGCCTCTGGTTTGCTAACTACTTAGATATGTAAATGAAGTTTATGACAACATATTTAGCACAAATAATGTGAAAAGAAGATATAATAGCTGCTTCTTTTGAAGACTTACAATCTTTTATGTCACAGTAAGTAAGCTGTATTTTCCACATTTAAGCTTTACTAGTGCTGGAAAGGGGAGCAACATAAACAGCTTACCTCTGCTGCACTATCATCAAAATATCTTTTCTTCAATTCAGGATCCCAATCCAAAGCAAGGAAAGATCTTTCTAAGATTAAAAATATACTTTCTCTTAATAGGATTTCTTGCTTTACATGAAATTATATTAACTTCGGGCAAACACTATGCTAGCACGAATTTAAGATGGAAAATGGAAGCACACACAATTTCTGCATATTTAAGAGTTAATCACAGTAACAAATTAATTATTTATACTGAATTTACTATTGGAAAAGAAGTTATACCCAATAACACATAGAGAGAAGGAAACATTATTCTATGGAAGTGGAATCAGAAAAAAAGTATCAGAATTGAATGCTGCCCAACCTGTTTCCCATGACTTACCGTCAAGCCTAGGTTGCCTATCTTCAAATCTAATATGCCTGGTATCATCTTTGATGTAGTTTATGTCAGTATTGCCTAAATTATTGAACTGGAATGTAAACAGTCGCTTTTTGTGTCCCATCAGTGGTTGACCTTTGCAAGTATCCTCAGTACATAATCCATTTTCGGAGTCATTGTCACCTCCAACTGAGTCTTCTGACTGGCTGTTTTCATTCTCTGAAGGAAGTTCCTGATCCTGGCTGGATTCGTCATCTTGTTCATCTGTTTCCATTTCACCTGAAACAATTGGAAGAATAAGGAAGAAGAAGTGAGGCAGAGTAACAATAACTGAAAGACACTACAGAATTAATTGCAGTTTCAAATTGAACACAAAACACTAAGCAAGTTTAGATATTCCAGTCTTACTTGGAGATCCTTCTTCATGTATTCCATTTGGGCCATTACCATTGATGCCATGGTCCTTACAGCAGTGTAGGGATCCTTCAGTGTCTTCACTTTCAGTGCATGTTTTCACGTATCGGCTAAATATAACAAATAAAAGCAACAGTTAGAATCAATGGATTTTTAAATATTTACACTGTTAAAGCCAGATAATTAAAAAGGTTGCAGCAAATCCTTTCTAGTCTACTGTATTCCTGCACTCTTCTCTGATTTATTCAGAAATAACAGTTTTAGTGCCTAACTTGTCTAATGTTAAAGGCACATCTGAAATTCTGCTTCTCTACATTCTTATATTTTTGGCATTTACTTGATTTTATACAATTTGATTCTTGGTGTTAGTCCATCCAGAAATCACGTATTTAACTGTTCATCAACCTTCTTTTTTTACACAAAAAATATGTGTTCGCTTACACAGAAAGTTACATTATCTGAAAATGAAGCATAAATTTAAATTGTAGTTTATATTATTCTAATTTCTTCCACATAATGACACTTATTCCTGTCTAATCTCAAAAAGCACCTAGCATGTAGTTTTACAACATAAATTAGTATATAAACTTGTATAGTAGATACAGGAGCTATAAGCGTAGCAGAATAAACGGCAAAACATTTCCATTTTACCAAGCCCTAGCAAACAGCTGTGGATACAGCAGAATTAGCTCCTCTAAACTGACAATAGAGTCTTTACTGTCTTCTCAAATAATTTTTGGATAATGTCATGCTAACAAAAAACTCCACAAATTAAAATCCACACTAATTCACATCTGAAGTGGCTAAATTTTTAGATTTAATGTATTTAACAGAAAGCAAATTAAAGACTAAGTAGGCTAACTGGTTTGTAAGCAATGCATCTAAAAATAAGTTCCTACTGATTCCAACTATTCATAAGAAATTATTCATAACAAATGTGTTTCTTTAAGCAATAACCTTACCACATTCTTAGCAGCAGCAGGTTATACAGTTTATCTTCAGTATTGTTTCTAGGCACTGCTATGAGAAAAGGTTGACCAAACAGTGAAGAACCACTATGGCTGTAGCTAGTGTGCCTGCACTTTTCCCTTAAACAAACAGGAATTATAACTTGTTCTGTATCTTCTGTTCTATTGATTGCAATTTCAAATCTAAAAGAAAAACAAATCAGAAAAACAAAGGACAACCGTCATTTAAAAGGTTACAAAGGGGAAAAATTTAATAATAACCCCCCCAGATTCATCTTTATGTTTAGGTTTTAATCTTCTGCAAATAACTAAACAAACTGCAAAGAGACATGAAGCATGGTATCTGTACTTACACATAGATGTCATCACGTTCCATAATACTACTTAGATTTTCATCCATGCCAAATATCCTGTGGAATCTGTGATTGTATATATCAGTGACAATCATCTAAAAAAAAAAATGAGTATACATCATTAAATCAGGTTAATATGTGCTAAAATGTTCATTGTTGTACTTCATATAAGAAATCACTCTTACCTTATCTGCAGCAACACCAGACAAAGCTGACAATGCTGTGCAAAGATCCAGTATATTTCCAATTTTGGGAACAACTACTTTATACTAAAAAAAATAAAATGTAACTTAAATTTCTTAAAAGAACACACATGCAGGAGAAAAAAACCAAACAAATTATCACATGTTCAGTTGTACTTCACGTACTTCTTTCAGATTCTTGAACTTAAGGTGTAAAGTATGTAAATCAACGAACACAAATTTCCAAAGTTGCTAAAAAGCATAGTAAGCTACCTTCACAACTTTACTCATACAAACTCACACTTTGAATACTACATTTATTAGTCTATAAAATGCTTTTTAATGTTATTTTACTTTCTCCATAAGAAGACTAACAGCACCGATTACTTAGATTTATATTTCAACAGCACGTACTTATTTAAGCACTTATACAGTATGCGTGCTATTGCCTAGATTCTTAAATTCGGAATACAACGCAAGTTGTTTATGAAGTATTACTAGGAAAAAAAGCAACAGAAGACAATGAATAAAGACTGAATGCTAATTTTGCATGCAGAGAGAGAACCTGATGATTAACAGTCAAAGAAAACCTCTCTGTGGCTTCCCTTAGTGCAGTACACCTGCAGTTTGTAATGAAACTCCACACAGGACTCTTATCTGTTATTTGCATAACAAATAAAGACAGGATTAATCAGAAATAAGGTATTACAACTCTGCAACTAATTGCCAAGTACAGCATGTGTTTGGTATCTCCTTAAGTCTTATAGTTGCTCAGTCTCACCAAAGCTCTACTGAACTCATACCCTTCCCAATCTCTATTCATTCCTGCGTAACTATCTCACATCATACGGGGTCTTCTTCAACTTCAGTGTGTCCCTGGTGCAAATCTGTTCTCACAAACAATTAAATTTCTAGCAAGCTCATCTTCCACTAGTTAATACGTGTCCCTTTATCTTTGATTTCTCTAACTTACGTTATACTGTCTTTGAGAACACTCCTTTTACCCCCAGTCTGCTTCTTACAGGATACTCTGATATCAGATGCAAAAGCCTTTTTGCAAGTCTGCCTAACTGCCTTTGTCTTACTCATTTCACCTAACCTTGCTCAGCCTGTAAGGTACAGCTAGAACAACTTTATTATTATTTTGTTACCATAATCTATTCACATTGTTTTATGCCATTCTAAGGTTTTATACCATCCTCCCTAAAAAAGGCAAAAGAGATACTTTTCACAGAAAAAAATATATTCTGAAATGTTTTGACTATTAACTGATAGTATAGAAGGATTCAGGACTACCTAATATATTTAGTCATAGGGGTTTTTTTTGCATCACGCATTACCAATATTTGCCTTCTGAGGCTAATAATCTGATGAATTAAGTCTGGATTAAATGTACAAATATTTTTTTATAACCATACAAATTCATTATAGCAACACTAAAATAAAAAATGAGGACAGCATACATTTTGAAGATTAAGAAGCCTTATTAACACAATCCTACAGAAATTACCAAGATCTTCCTTGAAACTAATAGAAATATGAGAAGGTACCTACAATCTTCCACAGGCATTCTAAGTGGAACTTCAGAAGACAAACCAGAACAGTAAAGCTTGTTGAATTTGCTTATTGTACTCAAATTTAAAAAAATGTAAGGGAATTCGGGTTCACTGTTAATGCCACGTGAATCAGGAGTTTTGTACATAAATTAAGAGGCTTACCTGCATAGGCTTTGCAAGTGGATCCGTTCTAACTAAATAAACTTCCAAAGTGCGTTCTTTTTTCATGGGTAATGGAAGTGTCAAGTAACAAAAGGGATCAAAGGTTACAGATATCTTAGCACATTCAGGACAAACTAGGGTGGATTTAAAAAGGCCATGAAATATATCTACAATGATGGAATCATTTCTTTTTAAATGGTTTTCCCAAGCTTCTTCAGCAACCACCTGTAATTAAAGCATGACCTGGGTTATGACCAAGTAGTCAGAAACGAACAGTGAGAATTATTAGTAAGAATACTTGAGAGAACATTCTCAGTTACCACCTAAACATAGAAATCTCACTCCAAAGGATTCCTTAAGATATGTTATGACCATCAGGATCACAGGTTAAAAGATGCTTTTCCTAGGACAGAGATTCTGTCAGTGGTATTACATAGTCTGAGAGAGACTTCAAGTATCCTGGAACAAGACTAGAGCAAATAAAAGTAAATTTCCATCTGAAGTAACTCGTACTCGTAGCAAAATAAATTATCTATGTGCTTGTAGCTCAATGCTAGAAGGGTTACTCTAAAGTAAGAGACTTGAGAGAGACAGAACGCTGCATAGTGTAGACATAAGAATAAAACGACAGAATGAAAACTCTTTTTTTTCCAACTGGACACAGCACTAAATTGAACAAAAAGGTCGTAACAAAGCCTTACCACCCTCTCACCCCCACCAATTATCTTCTAAATAATCAGAAATTTACATATGTATTTGAATAAGATCTCAACTTTAAAGTCTCCGCTTATTTCTGAATTCTCTTCCAGAAAAAGTAACATGTGATCAGTGTCCCAACCTCAGCGCACTATCACAAAGTATGCAACATATAGCCTTGACTAAAAAGAAGACCACCACCACCAAAAACACTACCTTGTCTGGTCTCCCATCTGCATCCTTTAACTGAATGTAAGGCTTTTTCCTAATTCGATTCAAATCCTCATGTAATCCATCCAAGAGAAAAGCCAGTAGCTCTTGGCAATCTTGTTGCTGATAACCAGAAAACTGTGGTGCAAATCGTCCCACTTGTGTCTAAAAACAATAAATACAAATACGTCTGGTAACTTAACTGTTATAAAGAACAGATACTTCCTAGATGCTACAGCAGGAAGTTGAAGTGGTAAAACTTACACAGTTATAAAAGATAAGCTTTTCAATGGAGACAGAAACCCAAAACTAATTCTCAAAGATCAAAGCATGAGGACAGTTGACACATTCAAATATACATTCAGGTGTTTCAACAGTTAACTGAATGGACTGCATACTGATGAATATTACTACATCTTCTTCTTGCATATTTCTCTAAGTTTTGTGTACTTAACTACAAAACCAAAACTGACAATGTACGTTCAGGTTAAATTCCCTACTGACCTTAAATGCTCTTGGGGTAACATAGCTGTATTTTCCTGACCACATTTGCTTGATAAGCTCTGCGTAAGATTTTGCTATTTCACCTCGCATTCCTAAAGGATTGTCAAAATTCAGCTCTTCTTGGTATTTATCATTGAGGAAGTATTCTGTAAGAGGAGGTGTGTTGCTCAGACACTGTAAACAGAAATACAGAATTTTTAGAACAGTGACTTAAATTAGTCCTAAACAAAGAATGTTGGAATTTTGTTAAAGCAGCCATGAGCAAATCTTTAAATTGCAATGCCTAGTGCCTGCAAGGGGGTAAAAAAAAAAAATCTTCTTCAGAAAGAAGTAATGGTTTGAAATCAAGACTGGCTGCAGCTACCATTGAGTTATGCACAGATAATATTTTTTTAAAGCTTTACATCAGAATTTATTAGACATAGTAGACCAGCCAACCACAGTGTGACAACACAATTTGTATCAACGTTTAAAACAAACAAAAGAAGGTGGGGTTCTTGATACACGAATAGTAGCTCCTTGCTGAAAGTTGTTACAGATGCACAAAGTTTACAGGGCCTTAAGGAGAGGTACTTGCACAGGTACATGAAAGAGAGAGCCAATAGGGCATATTAAACCAAATTACCACATTCATAACAACATGTGAGCTGAAAATAGTTGAAAACGGAGATTTTTTTTTTTGCAGGAGAGGGAAGGTGACCCTAATCCTTTTCCTAGGCATCTGTTTATGGATGCTGTTGAAGACAGCTACACGGACTAGACCTTGAATCAGAATTGGTGCAGCCCTTCCTACATTCTTTTAAATTTTGTGAAGCCTTTTAGAACTGAAATTAGTTCAAGGAAATCAAGGGTTTTTGTTTAGACTGAGATAATGACTTATCCTCTGTACCAGTTTGTCTTCTCTGTCAGCACTTGCAGATAGCAGGATGTAATCACTGCAGTGAGATATACAGTTTTAGGAATCCACTTTGAATTGTGTGCTACTCCTCACACTCCTTTGAACAAAACCTTTTCTGTCACTTGGAAATGATCCCCATGCCATGCCTTAGTATATAGATTTAGCAAAGTTTCTTCATTAAATGTTATAAATTTGCTGCATTCTTTCTTCTATTAAAGATTCCAAGAAGGGTCAAATACTTCATCGGTCTTATCTGTCTCTCTGCAAATAAGGGGAAGAACTAAAATTTCAACTCCACAAGCAGTACTGTGTAAGATGCAACAATTGAGACTGGAAGAATTACAACTTTACTGAACAGGGCAAAAAAAGTTATTCTTATTTCTGCTTATTATACCTGTGCAGTACTACAAAGGAAAACCAGTCATGTGCTGTAGAGAGCTGAATTTCATGCCCACTCTTGTCTTTCTTTCCCTCTACTTCATCACACTCCTTTCTTTCTTACTTTCCCTCCTCACCTAAAGCTTTCATAAGCTGTCAACACTGCATAAAAATCCTGATATTACAGGCCCTTTTGGACACCAAGGGATGAAGAAAGCTTATTTTTCTCTTGCTACATGGCAAAGAGTTTTTATTCTTAGTAGTGGTGATCCCAAGCCCCCACCCACCTCACAGATCTGTGTGTCAGTTCTGAACTGATCCATGCAGCGAAGAGGAGAAACACTTGGTCTCTCAAATCCATACAGAGGTGGTCAGTCAGAGTTTCAAAAGCTTTATTTTTAGCATCAACCTAAATGAATGAACTTCCAAGTTCCACCAGATACCCAGAAACAATACAGTGCAAACCATGATAAACCATGATTTTTCCAAAGCAGAGCAAGCTGTGGATAACAACTAGGGAATCAGTATCAAGTGATCATAATCGACCTCCAACAAAATTAGACTATGTGGCTGGACAAAACAATGCTTCAGTGCATTATGCAAAAGTGCACACATTGCTGATGTACATACACATACATACAAACACCCTGGAAGAATTCTGAACTACTAAGTCAAAAAGGAGACCTAATTACTTGTAAAGACACATATACAGACTACTGAAGAGAGCACAGCTGTAACTAGTAGGGTGTGGGAGGCATTAAGATGCACAGGAAAATGAACAATAAATAATCTCTTTTTTTTAGTGCCTTATACACATATCAAAGCTGGAATACTTTAATTCCAATAATAGACTATAATCTTGTTAGCAAGTAAGTTTACCTGTCCTATAAAACTTCCATACAGGTAGAAAAATAATACTAAAAATAGTCACAATATCCTTCTTTAAAAACACATAATTTAGGTAGATGAAAATTCTCAAGAGAGTTTGCAAGGACTCTGATTGTTTAATTGATAAAAAATAAATTAAATTAACGAAGACAGAGGGCCACCAAAACAGTCAGAGGACTGGAGCACTTTGTGGGAGGACAAGTAAGAACGGGCATCAGTTGAAAGACGAGTGGTTAAAGAGATAAGGAAAAAGTTTTCACTTTAAGAACAGTGAAGCAGTGGAGCTGAGAGGCTGTGCAGCCTTCCTGGAGGTTTTCAAGACCCAAGAGGATAAAACCTTGGGCAACCTGGTCTGACCTTAGAGCTGACCTTCTATTGAGCAGGAGGTTGCACTAGAAACTTCCCGAGGTTCCTTCTAACCCAAATAATCCTACGATCCTAAGGTAATGAGGAAACACTGATTCACATCCCATAAGATACATTACATAGAAATAATAGTAAAAATAAATTAAATAAAATAAAAAATAACATTTCAAAGCAAAGAAAACATCATTACCTATTATGCCAGTAAACTGAGGAAATGAGAAGCAGACGAGAACATGAAGTTGAGCTAAAAATCGGGTGTACCTATAAGTATCATGGTTCTTCAGCTGTTCTACTTAATTTTATGCAAGGGACATTGAAGTTACATATTTCAGCCTTCTAATAAAAGATCAAGAGCTGACTGACTGAAAGAAAGACCCAAATTATAGGAAAAAATGTGAATTATTTTACATCTGTGTATCCTACTTTTGTCTGAAGCACTTAGTGTCAGGTGTGGTGAAAAGCTAATACACCCCTTGACCCAAACTCTATGCCTATGGTAACTGAAACACCTGAAACTAAACACCTCATCATTTCAGCTTTCGGTGAAACATGTTATGTTTTGTCTGGATAAACCCAAAGCCATATGTAACCCTACAGGGAATGTTAATCAGTTTTCTGAAGGAAGAAAATTGCTGAAATACCCCACTGCAAAGCTCACAGCAGCTGCTGTTCAAAAGTCAAGTATATATAATCACACTGATGAAAAAAACAAAAAATGAAAATATGGGGAAAGACTACAAAAAGAAGTGTTTCTAATTAAAATATTTACTTTCACTCTTCTCCTATTTTTGAATCACAAAATTAAAACTTCATGAACTCTCATGTTTTCACCGAAAAAACCCAACCAAATAAAAAACATTTCCCACAGAGCTCCAATCACTAGTATCCCACCAAAAGGGCTAAGCAATACTTAGGAAACATCCACAGGTGGCAGCACAGGTATGCTTCAGGAGATTCATATTTTTCTAATTTTTTCAACTTAGAACATAGCCACATACATACAAAACACCTACTTGCCCAATACTCTTCTTTTTTAATGCTTGATACGGATTCAAGCATTCATAATAATTTTTTATAAAGTCCACAAGCCCCCTTCTGTCTTTCCTGTTTTATTTAATGCTCAGATCTGCAAAAGCAGACATCTAGGCCTTAATAATAAAAATCAAGCCTTAGTTATTAGCACTGAAGTAAATTAAAATTAGACACAGGGAATACTCCAAAAGAATCTGAAATATCGATACAAAAGAAAAATTCCAATATGACAAAAATATGAAACAATACTGAATTACTGCTTTTTAAAATAAGAAACAGTGATTAAAGAAAAGCACTTTGGAGAAATACAACACTCAGTTTGCAGCTGTCTGTGATACCACAGCGGATCTTACCCATCTCTTCAGCACCTCTCCTCTAGTTGTCTTGAGCTTTGTTACACCGAAAGCCCCTACTTGGAAGAGCAAAGGTCTTTTTGCAATAAAGACTTAGAAGGATGAACCTTAGTATAGATTGAAGAATTATTAATGAAATTGCAACAAAATTTAACTATTTGCCAGGATCGCAACATTTCTAGGATGGTAACAAGGCAAAAATCTTCAGACACGTTTGTCAGACTCTTCTTTGAGGAATACTGATAACAGTTCTGATGCAAACCATCTTCACCGTACATGAGATGAGAGCACGGAGAAGCTGTCTGAGAAATGAAGTGGTTTGAATGGCTCTTCTGGGAACATTAAGGAGCCTCAATGCTGTCTGAGAAAGATGAAGATCTAAGAAAAGTGATAATCTGCAGAAGAGTGGATCAACTAAATCCTGCTTCTGTTGAAGGAAGCTACATTGATTACACTCAGCACTGGCAATACAAGGGATCAGTAGAGCTTTTGGAGTTGAACATGAATGGAAACTATTTCAGAGTAAAATTCTACAGTAAACTATTTTGTTTAAAGAAAACAGAGTTATCCTGACAAACAACCCTGAATTGACATAACTGTGAAGGAAGGCAACTTATAAACGTAAATAAGCTGGAGTAGGTAACTAAAGCAGATCAGAGAATCACAGAATAACTGAAGGTACCTGGGATATTTTCTACTCCAATCCCTGCTCAAAGAAAGGTCACCTAAAGCAGGCTGCTTGGGACTGTGCCCAGTCAGGTTTTGAGCATTTATGAGGATAGAGGGCTCCACAGCCTTGCTGGGAAACCTATTCCAGTGTTTGATAACAGAATCACAGAATCACAGAACGTTAGGGATTGGAAGGGACCTCAAAAGATCATCTAGTCCAATCCCCCTGCCGGAGCAGGAACTCTAGCAGCAACCTAGATGAGGTTGCATAGGAAGGCGACCAGGCGGGTTTTGAATGTCT